TAGGGTTTTACTCTAAAACACTGAACATGTATAAACAGAAGACAGCCATTCAAAGACAAAGAGAGCGCAAAACCCAAAATGTTTCAATATGTTACATTCTTCCACTGTTAATCTTCTGACAGGGGTTTGGTGTTTTAAGGGATTAAAGGTCAAGTAAATCCTATAATGTTTATCAGAAGCAGACAGATCAGTCAGGAAACATGTAAATTACACTTCAGCCTTCAGCAGTCTCATTTTCCACATGCAATGCTACAAGAAAACAGACATGGCATTTTTCCACATGTCTACCCATTAAACACAATCCTCCTCCAATGTATACTTACTAGGGAGAAAGGTGGCACCCAACTGACCTCTTCAAGTGCTAAAACATCCTATTTCTGCTTCCACATTATAGCTCCAGGCTTGAACTCATTCTACAACACTTGTTATCATCTGCTGGATAATGTACTGGATTCTGTGTCATAACAATTAAAAGTATTTTGATGATAACTTTTTGGAACATACAAATTAACTCCACATCTGACAGTGGTAGCAATAGCTTTACATAGAGACTGAGCTATTCTCTCCACCCCTCACAGCCAGCAGCTCCAACACATTACAACCTCACCTGTGGAATACCTATCTGATTGCTGTAAAACAGCATTGTAACAACATTGTTTGACATTAGACCAGACACAAACCTCCTAGAGAAACAATGTGACAGGAAGTTCATTTAAAAATCTTCCCCAATTAAGTGTTCTTACCTCAGGTGATTAGGTAAATGCCTGAGTAGTAAAGATATCCAAGAGAGTAATCAAACAATCGGACTAACAAGGAGAAAAAATACTATCATTGCTTCATGGAAAGTTAATTTAAAACTAGCTGTTATTTCAGCAAAAACTGTAAAAAAAATTATGTGTTGATACTCTTAAAGGAAAATATTTGGCATTAAATATACTCAAACTGTTCACGTTGCTTGTCACAATAAAATTCTTGATAAATAACTAAATAGATCTGAGTCAAGCTCAGTCTACTGCCTCTGAGGAACTAGAGGCTCATTAACAATATAATTATCTAAAACTAATTAGTAGTTGGTGATTGTAGCCTGCTGGCACTAGGAAGCTGATTAACATTCCTCAGAAACAAACAGGGCTGGGTTGGAGGAGAAGAGAGATATTTCCCTTTTGCATCAGCCTCAAATAGCAGAAAGGGAATCAAATAATTAACTATTTATACCTGTGCACATTGCAGCTCACTTTCTTTTATTACTCTATAAACCTCACTAATACTGGATGTGCTTGAGACATTTTCATTGCTTGACATATACTGAGTTCTGAATATTTTGCCTGGTTGGATGACAGAAATAGAAATCTTAAAGTGCAATTAAATATTTTATTACCATTGTTTAATTAAATAAATACTGGATTAACTTGTCAAAGCAGATTTCACTGACATGCTAGAAAAGCATTTTAATTTTTCTTTATGAATATAATCTGTGCCTAAATAATGTGGTGATTAGTATAATTACTTTAAATAGTACTGGGTGCATTTAGGGGAGGGGGATGGACCAATTACCAAGTATTCCATGGAAACCAGTTCCTTTAATTTCCCTAATAATATTCTTTGTAACCATTTTCCTCCTTTTTTAAATGAATAACGGATTAATTTAAAAATCCTAAACTGCGGTTTAGGTTAAACTTAAGTTCCATATCAGAAGAAAGCCCTGCAGTGTGACCTAAGTCTCAGTGTTTTATTTAGTGGACACATTAAGAGTCAGATTTGCAAGTAAACTTTCAAAACTGTAGATGTCTGTATTAAAAATTTTCCTTTTGCTACTACCCAGCCATCTTGTAAAACATGCATTATTATAAGTAGTTTATGCCCAACGTCAATCCCTGCCACAGTAAAAGATCAGATGAAAAGGAAGACATCAAGTTTTAGTTCTATCTCTGATGGCTTCTGTATGGTGAGAAATACATATCTATGCACACATATTAATATACACAGACACACATTGATAAAGTATAGAAAGAAAACAGATCTGTTGACTCTGCTGCAAAGCAGGTGGGGGGTTTAAAATCCTTTTCTTAGTTAATATTCTGAACCACTAGATTTAATCCCTGTGACACAGCTGGGAGAAGTCAATGCTCAGGAGCACAGAGCATCTGGAGCACTACTGGCCTCCAGAGGATAAAGGTGTTCAGCTTTATCACCAAAAATCTTGGGTCTGCTGAGATTCTTCTTTAGTTTAAATATTTTCCTTTATTTGGAACAACAGGATATGAGATTATCCCTCTGCTTTTATGAACCGTCAGAAAACTAGCATTCATGAAGTCCTGAGTACACAAAAACATGCTACATTAGCATTATAAAGTATACCTGGTTTTGACAAAAAAATACTTAAAGCAAGAAATAACATGGCACAAGTTAAAAGACAAGTAGTATGTTGTACCTAAATGTAAAGTCTGTATTTGTGCCATACCTCAAATACAAGTACTAGAAATGTTGTTCAAAGTAATTTATTAATAACAAGATTAATTCCAACTCTCGCATGTGTGCAACATTCAAATTGTGCCTTGGTGCAAAAAATACACAACTAGCACAAAATATTTGTACCAAGTAGTGAGCAGTACCAGTAACACTAAATTGGACTATGTTTTTTACAGGAGAACAAAATGAAAATGCCTAAGTTTCTTAAGCTCTGGATTTTAACACAGGTATTTATAAGGCTCTATTTATAATATTCAGACTCAGAAGAAATGCTCACAATTCATATATATCAACTGAAAAAAATTATATCAATACTTTTGATTAGAGTAATAGTCTGTAACAAGATTGATACCTTTTCTATAAATACATATCTGAATGTTACAGAATTTTACATTTACAGAAATTGGAAAGTATGCACTCGATGATTCTAACCTAGGTTAGGAGGACACCATGTGGCAGAATAACATATGAACAGACCCTGTAACTCCCACGCTAAAAAAGCCCTCCACCTACAGTTGCTACCCCTTGCAGCCAAAGATATTAAATACTGCTGACAGACTGTGTGAATGTAGAGCAATGTCTCAATGTCTAATATTTTATATTAGGATAAAATAGAGGATTATTAAGATGATCTGCAATTCTGTTGAAAAGGTGTGGGTGAACAACTGGACTCAGAGGAGGTTTCCTCAGATACTAACCCCTAAGCAGCCATTTTAAAATTTTAGAAGTACACAGTCTGATTTTCAGAATTAAATTTCACCCTTTCACACACCTAGATCTTTGCCAGAGCCCTACCAAAATCAGTGATTTGTGCATCTGTGACCTGAAAGCATCAATAAGCAACTCCAAGGAATATATGAAAGAGCCCCATCCTACCTCATCAGTAAAATTTCCCCTGAACAACTCCATGCTTACTAGCACACAAATCCAAAAAATATAGTGCTAGACAGGTATTTTTGGAACTATGTGGTTTATGTTGCATTTCTCTAAAAAAATCCATATTATTTCCCTTGTTAGAGGCCAATAATAAATCCTTAGAATATCAGATGAAGATGGAATCTACTTAAACCTTAAAAAAAAAAAAAAAAAAAAAAAAAAAAAGCAGCAATCCAGTTTATTTATAATAGTAGTCATAAATTATGGAAGCAATTCAGATTGTTACAGTATCAGTCCAGGAAATCCAATAGAACTGGAAGAACAGAGAACAATTTAATAGTTTGGCTAAGGATGGACAAACCTCTACATGTTTAGAATTTAATTTCAGATAATCACTGATGACAATGGAAGTTCTGAATCAGAAAGAAAGCTGGAAAAAATAAATTCTAAGGAATTTTGTCTTTCCTGTTTCTGGCCAGAAGGCATAGTCTTGGGTCATCCTATTTCCTTTCACAAAATCACGGAATCATTCTTGAAGTGGTTTTTTTTTCCCCAAATTAGAGAAGCTGTCATAGAGACATTAACACTATTTTTCAGTGCATTCTATAATTAAATCCTCCCTATGGATGAGAAGAATTCTGTAATGCTGACTTTAAGCACACAATTGAGATGTACTAAAATATTTCTATTTACAAGGCTTTCATAATCAGTCTCAGCCTGTACTACTCCAAAAAGGCAAGCATTTCTTCCCCTACTGTAGTATCATTTAGCAACCCTGGATCTTCTACCCTATTCCTACATTCTTTATGGAATACATATTGAAAAAATAATAGTTTGTGCATTCCTATCACTCACCTCAGTGAGCAATCTTAGACATATCTTAAACAAAGCTTTAAATAAACCTTCCCAGAAAGAGTTTTGATAACCCAAGAAACTGTACATTAAATTCTGCAAGCCGCAACCTTTCAAGCACAAGCAGACTAGCCATGGAGGCTGGACAAAGAACTTGGGTTTCTAATCAGTGGAGTCCCAGAAGAGCATTCTGGCAGGAGTAACTGGAAAGAAACAAACACTTACATACCATATTTTCATGCATATATCCTGCATTTTACCAGTTGAAAAAAATCTTACTTAGCAGTAGTGCTGTTAGAGGAGGGGAAGTTTGTTATGAAGAGAGGCCTTCTCTGCTAGCAGTGAGCAGGGCTGAGGCCTTTGAAGTTCATGAACAGCATTTTTAAAACAATGTAGGATATCTCAGTACAGGTGAGGTGAGTGAAGATGTAGTTTCAGGACTAAGCTTGGTTGGTTTTACCAGGATTTATGAGATGTGATGGCTGCTGCAGCATAGAGGTGAATTCTATGATCCAAAGAGCCACTTCCAGTCTCACATTACTATTCTGCAGGCAGAGACTGGGAAAGCAGTGGGAAAGAAACAGCAGCAACTTACACCAAGACCATACTTGTTCACTGGTCAGAATTAAACTTAAATACAAAAGAAAAGAACCCTGCTTTTCAGGTTACCCTGACAGAGAAAAAAGGAAAACTGCATGGCTAAAATCACACTATATAAAAAGGGTCACAGGGTCAACAAGTCTCTTAGTGGCTACAATAAGTAAAACTCATAACTGACTCAAAAAAAAAAAAAATGCCCTTACCTGCTCTCATCAAACCTGCTGTTGAGTAGTCAACAGTATGGAGTTGTTCTTCTGTCATACTCAATCTCTTCTACTTTATCTGCTTTTGCTTTTTCCTAGGAAAATACATCAATAGACACAATATAAAGAAAAGGAAAAAATCTCTATTCATGAAAGCACATTGGTGTTGCAGAGGAGGCTTCTATTTGAGCAACAGTTCCCTTCAGATCTATTCAAGTGAAGCCACCAAAGGATTACAGAGAACGTACCACCAGAGCGTTATTTTATCTCAGTGAACGGGGGGAAGGGAAAAAGAGGTGTATTTACAAATAAGCACACTGATTTTAGAACCCTGAAGGAACACTTCCCAAGGTCTATCTACCAAATACTCTCTGTGAGGGACAGAGAAATTTCTGCATGCCAGCAAGGGAATTTACACAATGGGACTTCAGTCTCACCTGCTCTCATCAATCCTGTCTAGAAAAGCCAGTAGGATAAAATGCAAAAAATAGGAATGAAATTTTCTTCAGCCACAGTGTTCAGACAACAAGGAAAAGGCTTCTATCAGCCAGCATCCAAAATAACCCAAGGTCAGATTTCCTGGAATTCAGCTGCAGAGGGCATGCACTTGAGCGTACAACCCTCTGCCATTCTCATATCTCCTAATTCTCTCCAGGCTACTGATTTACATCTCCCACCTGCTGGGTAATCATACACTATCCATCAGTAAGATTTGTTCGCACTGTCACACAGATTGCTGGTTTTAATCTCTGGATTGTTGAAGTCCAAAATCTCAGGTGACTACCCTCTGATACAGTTCCAGATGTAAGCTGAAGGAGTTTCTAGTTGCCTGAGACAGAATTGTACAGTCTTGCTTGGCAGGTGTTTTGAAAGGATTTTCCATCTCACCTTGTTGCTTTTCATCAGTCAGATGAAAAATTTTTTGAGCATCTGGGATGACATGTATTTGGGGTTTTACATTTAGTCAAAAAAATATTTATCCAACAGATGGAAACATGATAAACTAATCTCTAAAGTAAGCATGCCTTTTGAAAATCTCATGCCTGAGTCAACATCCATAGTTGGCAGTACACTGTTACAATTTCAAATGTGTCATTACACACAGCTGAGAAAATGTCAGAATCAATCTTCCTTCTTCTTTATATAAAAAAAAATGTGTTTATAACCCAAGAAACATATGGGTAATCTGAGTAATTGAGAAAAATCTAATACATTAGAGGAGCTATTTATAAACAGGATGAGTCAAAATTATATTTGCTTTATGTACTGTAATAAATTAATCCAATCTTTGCAAAAATCCTCAGTTAGGCCCTCATCTACAATTGAAAGTTTTTGACATCCTAGTCAGGTTGGCTAAAAGGATGACAAAAAAAGTCACAACCCTACTCAGTACTTCAATGCAGCAATGTACTTTCTAAAGACATAACTGTATTTGAGAAATTTCCTTTCAAGTTGATTTTATTAAGCTGTAGAGGCAAAAGAATTATCTGTTTAAGTTTTTTATGCAAGTAGGGATTGACAATGTAAGCACAGAAAACTATAATAGGAAACAAACTAAACACTGGACCTAAACTAAACAACAAATTTAACATCAATCATCTTTGATATGTAGTTCCAGATCTGAACTTTGCAGACAGAATTTTACCTAACTACTAAGAGGTGGTACAGCTGTGTTTGTATTAGCAGGCACAATTATTACCTCGATTTCCTTTACTTCCATCACATACTGTGGCCTCAGAGTTACAGAGAACTGAAAAACCTTCTGGGCATGTAGACATAATAAACTCTTTCCTAACAAAAAATTAGTCACCTTAACATTTTGATTATATGACTTATCACAAGCCGCAGGAAAAAAAGATGTGGCATTTCATCCTGAAGAACCTTTGTCAACAATTATTTATGGAGGTAAAGTTCAGGAAAAATTGCTTTCTACTTCCTCAGTGATAACATTTATGAATATCATAAATTAGATTGTAAGAGTATCTTTAAAGCTTTTGTTCTACTTCAAGGGAGTTTACAGATTATCTGTACATAATATATTAACCAAATCAGTAAGTATAATCTGTACATACTACCAGAACATACCTGTTGGTTTGTTTGTTTTTTTTTTTTTTTTAATGTAAATATGTACTGCTGCCTTCTGGAATAGAAATTAATGAAAATGGTCTTCTCAAGACTTCATAAACATGACCATGCACTTGGAAATCAAATATTTCTGTAACACCTAATTTTTGGTAAAATAACTTCCACTCTTGTGCAGGACCTTCAACTTGACAGATGTCAAATATCACCTTGAAAAAAAAAAAAAAAAAAAGAACAACCACAAAATATGTTATCTTTTACTGAGAAAAGCAAAACAAAAAAAAAGTATTTTCCACATAAATTCTTCAATCAACAGAGTATATTCTTTTGAGATTATAGGCTATAGTCATTCTGTTAAGGTTAGGACAAAAAAATTCAGAGGTGAGTGAAATTAGGTTTATAAAGGGTACTAGGCTCATACAAAAAAGTTGATTCCCAAAATTATCGAGTCAGTTTCCTTAAGTACTCAAAATCCTCAGCTTTCAATGATCTTGACTGTTCAGTACTTCTAAAAAACTGCAATAAAATTTGTCTTAGTCCCCTCAAAATTAGTAATTACTTCCAAAACTGTTTTTTTTTTTTAACTTGTCCAAATACACGCAGTAAAACAATTAGCAAATGTGTTCTGGTTTGTAACAACTTTACGTTGCCTTTACTTGTATACAACTGCCATAAGACTTCACTTGTCCAGGATATAGCCACTGATGCGCTTTCAAGCAGTGTATATTTCTGCACATGAACTAAGCATATTGTATCATATATATCTAAATGCACCTGAGTGTATCTGAGAGTCATCTATTCAATAACAGTCTCACAAATTTCAATAAACAGAAATCTTTTGGGTTGAAATCCTTTTTTTCTGGATCTCACTTCCTGATATTGCCTACTTTTCAGATGAAACAATTCAGTACAGCTAATTTAAATTCTGACATATTTTCTATTTTTTAAATGCTTTAGTTTGCAAACTTAATATGTTTTCTTCTTCTTAACATACAAAATATATTTGTGATTATTTCTGATTTTGTAATTATCCAATTAAAAGTGGTATTTGAAATTAAATAAGTTTCATGGAACTAAATAATTAGATCATAACCCTATGGAACTAGTGAAGTTATACTCAAACACAAATAATTTTTCCCAGGAAAGTCTCTCTGAGTTCTACAGGACTGTTCAGTGAATAATTTTTTAAAGGTGAGTATTTCTTCTTTGCTGCTTTCTCAGAAAAGGTGCTTTTAACCTGCATATTACACTTACCCATTGCTCAAAAAATGTCTTATCGCCCCAAAATTATTATTCTTCTCCATCTGTATCCAAAATTTTACAGTAACCTCTGATTTCACCATCAGACAGACTGAGGAGATCTCACGGGCATCACACATACTTCAACAGGACTAATTCACTATCTTTACAGTGCTGCTGATAGATGTTTCAGCCTTAAACATGTATTAAGAGCCACCATTGCTCAAAGGCTTCAGAAGAAACATACTTTTAAGTTTCATTTCAATCAGTAATCTGCAAAGATTACATGGGCAAAAATTGTGTGATTATTTGTTCTCCTAGGTCTCAAATCAGCTGGCAGTAAAATTACTGACCCTCTCTGTTGCAGTTATTCTATGAAAAGCTGGAGGAGGGAAATGCCATTTGCGTATTTTATAGTGACCCTTTTTTTTTTTAAACATAGTTGCTTAGGTGCTGAATAAATATGAACATGCAGACAGATGCAGAAAATCAGACTGAGAGTTGAAGATAATACAAAGACCTTCAGGGAGTTAATTAATTCTTACATATGCCATAGCCTTTTTTCAAAAAACTACCATGAGGGACCAAGTAGCACACAATAATCAAGCAATGGTTAGAATTACTCAGGCCCTAAATATAATTAAAAAGTAGGTGTTCACAGTAAGATATCAAAGCACAAATGCTCAGGGGTCAGAGACTTTTCAAATGTGTTGTGCTAGCCTATATTCTTCTTTCCCACATGAGAGGCTGAGAATGCTAACAGAAACCTAGCAGAATTTAAAAACCCCTCCAACTCAAACAAATGAAACACTGCTCACCAGATGATCTTAAAATCAGTAGTATGATGAAGGGATTTTCCAAGGCCAGGATTTCTACTGAGTTCTGAAGAAGATACTGGTTCTCTTAGCCAACACCTTCAATATGTCATGGCTCCTAACCCCATGCTGGCTCTTCTGCCAGTCTTTCATAATCTGCAATCATGGTTTGCCAGAACCTGCTTTAGACTGCACCCTGGCAAAACCCACTGACCAGCAGACAGGCTGACATAGTGCTGAAGGAAGTACCATATATGGAACACCAATATATAGTGTTCCAGAAAAGGGGAAAGAAAGTTTGAGTTTAAAGAATATTGTTTTCCACATTTTTTAAAGTACAGTTTTTTAGTTATGGATTGATTTCCTTTACATAAAGCAAATAATACTCATGGTTAAAGCTACATAAATGCTGCAGCTATCATGCTAAGGCTTGTAAAAGCTTAGGTAACAAACTTCTATATGGCTCATTACCTCTGTCACTTGATCAATTACCTATTTTTAGCAAAGTCTGCATAGAAAATGAAATGGTCTGTCTTTTTGGTTTTACCTATGTGGTATATACTACAATACCGGTTTCCATGGAGAACCATATCAAACATAAGTGCAATAAAGCATTGTGTGTTCATTTATTTGAACAGAGTTTGAACACTAAGATGTAGGGTTTGATTCCATCGTTCTTTAGTATTCCACTATTAGGCTATCTCATGAAAATGAATGCATTTACTGCTCAGAGCAAGTCCTGCTTCATCTGAATAGGACTGCAGAATCAGCCTCCTCATATCATCTTTACTCATGGGCTTCTGTGCTAGAGCTCCTGTAAATAACCGCAGTCTCAGAAGACAAGTCTTAGCAAGAAATCCACAATTCTACTAATTTTACAAGTGTTTGAATTACATAACCTTCTTCAGCTCCATCATTATTATACAACTATCATATTTCTCTGTATTTACTGCTGTAGTATTTTGCAGTAACGACTCAGAAGAATAAAGGTAGCAGTAGTCTCTCTGTATTGTCTGCAACTGATGCTACAGAACTAAGTGGTGCACTGGATTTCATGCAAAGTCTTAAATATATCAGTTTTCAGATTATAGAGAATAAAAAATCTGAAGTCAGGGCATGTTCTCTTAGTTGTAGCTTTATAAAAAGGTAAATAGTGAAGGCTTTCAAATAGTAAAATCACATATATAGAAGATACATTTCTGTCCATGTACCCTCCACTTTAGTTTTGAAACAGAATATCATCACTTAACAGGTTAGTCTTTTGCTATTAACGTAATATCTAGATTCCATTGTGAACATCTTTATATTCTATCATGTTTCCCTCTCATCCTAACACAGTGAATATACAGTGGGATAGTTTTTTTAAGCATCAGTAAATATAGAGATAATTTCTTTTTGAAGGGGAGAAGGTACTAATTCTCTACAGTCTGTCTGAATATGTTAGCTTTTTAAACCATTCAGTTAATGGATGCATCTACATGAGTCTTTAAGTTCAGATCAGGAGTATGCTTCTGAGGTGAATCTTCTGTTCATCCACTCTTGCCTTACTTTGTTTCACACAGCACAGATCAGAGAGTACAGCTAGATATCCCCCAAAACGAAACAACCCTGAAATATGCACTCTACAAAGCATCTAATGTGCTCCAACTATTAATGGACTTTCAGTTCATATGAGCAAACTGGAGCTAGTTCAAAGCAGATTGCCTCCTTTCCCCCCACTCACATATAACGTGGATGTCAGGCTCTCAGCACCCACTATAGATTGGCTCTTACTGTACAACACTACTTGCTAATACAGACACAGACAATATTAGCTCAGGGTGGTGGGGAGGCTGGAGCCAAATTTTGCACAGCAGGATGTATTTCCTTCTTCCATCTCAGCTTTCCCCTTAATAAAATTTTGTTTTAAAAATAGATCTTTTGTTTGCATAGGAAGAACGGATGCAAGTTCGATTAATGTATGTCAGGAAGTTCAAGATGGAAACTCCAAGTTCTAGCAATCACAGTCTGGCGTGTTACATGCATGTACGTGCATGCTATCTGCGTGTACAAACATTAATATACTGAATGTGTGGTTTACATAGCTCTTTTTACCATGTTTAGAATCTGCTATCATGCTTACCCTGTGACTCCAACACATTTTACCTGATGTTCAAAAACCTATGTACTTATTTCATAATATTTTGTGGTGAACAGCTTCATGTCTCCATTGAAGCACTGTAAAAAGTTTGGAAATCACTGCTAAATCACTGAGATAGAACTAAGAAATCAGATAGATTAATAAAATGCACTTACTTAGTCTGGATATGAACTCATGATTGAGATGAGGAAGCGCAAAAGGCTGAGGAGAGTGGATTAACTAGCTCTGTTAGAAGACTGATCTGTTTTGTGAAAATAACCCAAATTTTTCTATCAAACAAAATGAAAAATAAATGTACATAGACTAGACTAGACTAGACTAGAATAGAATAGAATCATTTCAGTTGGAAGGGACCTACAACGATCATCTAGTCCAACTGCTGGACCAATTCAGAGCTGACCAAAAGTTAAAGCACATTGTTAAGGGGATTGTTCAAATGCCTCTTAAACACTTGACAGGCTCTAGGAAGCCTGTTCCAGCTATATTTGCACAGAATCATAGTCCATAGAAGACACAGATACAAATTCTCGTAATCTAGAGATTTGGTGAAGTAGGTTAAGAAAATTGTCCTATAAGAAACCAAAACCAACACGTTTTTTTCAGTAAAACCAAGCTAAACTCACAAAAATATAGGATTTTTTTAATGGCATAAAATATAAAAATATTAACATTGCAGGTGTTAGTTGAAATTATTTAATAACTTATTGTTTTCATGTTTTCATTTGTAACATCTTAGAATTAGCTACTCTGCAACAGAAATCTCGTTTTACAAGAAAAAAAGAGGCTGGCTAGAATTAGTAAGAGAAAATAGCCAGTGTATAATATGTTAGTACATTAGGAATAGTATTTATAATAGATACAGCTTGGTTAGATGTAACAAGTTGGGATTTAAACTGAGATTTATAACTGAACAAACAATATGAAATATAATAACATCATTTTGTGGATACTGGACAGCTTAGTGGATTCCTAATGGGAGGATGCAAGCCCCTATTTCAACTGAAAGCTATTTGGT